CCTGTACAAAAATTCCCCCAAGTCTGTGACCTTGAAGAACACAAGCTTCGACCTCTCCAAAGAGTGGAAGGAGCAGGGGAGGACATCGGGAGGTAATTTCTCTCAGTGAATTTGAGGTGAAAGGAATGAGACCAGAGAAGCCAAATAGTGTTTTCATCAAACATCTCTATTTGATATGAAGCTGCAGTGCAGGAGTATCTAAGATACCGTGCAGGTCCCCACTCTTAGAATCAGCAAATAATTCGCGGTATTTTGGATACCACTGTGTAGTAGCTGCTGGTAAATAATGTCTTTCTAAGGAGACCTTCGTTCAAAGGTTGCAGAGGAAAGCAACAGTTTGTTGTTTATTTCTGAAGGGAAAGTGCACGTTTTGGAAAGCTAAAACTTTATTGGAACTTGCTCAGAAAATATGCACAGCAAGTGCTTCACAGAAGTCCTGACTCTGCTCCTGTCTTGCTGAAGGCCTGGAAATAACCCAGTGACACAGGTCCTGCGGTAATTATTGGTGTGTACAGGATCAGCCTATTCAGATTCTCATGATTTCTCTGGCTGTGTATGTTGGTTATAACTCCTGATGTGAGTAAATTTATGCTGCTGTAAAATGTTGCCTTAAAATGCAGTTGGAAAACACAGCTGTAAAAGGTGAGAGAGGCAGAACCAGTGATTGCACAAATGTGTGCCCTTCATAGAAATTTAAAGAAAAAACACTGGAAAATCACTAGACCAGTGTCTTCTTTCTCTTGAGCTTCCAAAACCAGATGACAGTGCTGACTTCTGTTGTGCTTCCTCTAATCGTTGTGGTTTTGCATTTGCTTTGTAACTTCAACAAATGTTGACATTCATCATTTTCCCATCTGCATTTGAAAAAATAACTCTAAGAGAGCTTAAAACTAATAGCTCGTTTGTTCCATTTTTATCTACATACTGTGAAAATGGTCTCTGAGCACTAATGTCCTGATGCATTTCACATCCTTGCCAGGCTGTCCAGGTTGTACAGGAAGGCTTCTTGGGTCTTACCTGTGGATAACGGTGAACGACGGGTTCTCAAACTGAGATGCAAGTAGGACGTTACTCTTTTCACTCTTACAAAAAGAAAAACGTGAAAGTGCGAGCGTGTTGTGTTGCTTTCTTAGCTGTGTTTTGTACGATTGGTCTTTGTTGAGACACAAAGAAAACCATCAGAAGAAAAAGCAGATCTGATGTATTAAAATCAGTAAACAGCAATGGAAAGTATTTAAATTGTCTTTTAGAAGTTGAGTACAGCATGAGTGTTCCTCTTTCTCCCACTGGGTTAAATTTCTTTTGGTCCATTATGGTGCTTATCCAAACCCCCTTCTAACCTGAGCAGCTCAGAAGTTACTGTGTTCATCCTCAGGGTTCTCCTGCGAAGAGGAGAAGTGCTATTCTCGTTTCACAGGTGGGAAACTCGGACACGGAGACAGTAGGCAACTTGTTTGCTGAAGGCCTTGCACAGGAGATCTGTGGTGGAGCAGGAAAAGGAAACCTGGTTTCTCAAGTGAGAGCTCAGTGCCCTGCCCAGCTGCCCGTCCTGCTGCCCACTGTGGGCAGGAAGGAGGCAGTGCAGCATGGACTGTGTGTGACCTGTCCTGCTTCTGTCTCTGTCATCGTGGTGTTACTCTGGCAACGAGTTACATGGGGTTAAAAGGTAGAATGACTGTGAAGGATTGTGAGTCACAGGGAGGTTTAACGTGCCAAACTGGCATTCCGAGATCAAACATTGTAGTTTCTGGGTGTTCTGACCTTAAATTTTGCTTATCCAAATGTACATAGGCTACACAGAGTTCCTGTTTGAGGTGTTGACCCACCTCCGGCATCTTAAGAGAGGAAACAGGTCCTCAGGAATCTGCAGGTTTCAGCCGCTTCCTCCTATACAACATGTTTGAGCCCTAAATTCTTGCTGTTAGCAAAACGTTACCTGCCTTAAGCCTGCCGGGACACAGCACCTTTCCGTTCAGAAACCTGAGCTAAGTTTTGGCAACTAACTTGTCAAGCTACCTTTCAAGGGAGCACAGTGATCAAGTCAGATTATGTCTAGGTGTGGTTTTAACACCTTTCTTGCTGTGGGATTATTGCAAATAGCTGTAAGGATTCTGGAGATTGTGGACAAAGTATTCATACGCTTATGTCCAGCACATCCAGTGTCAGACTTCCTGGGCCTGGCTCCAGAGAGGCTTTTGCGCAAGGACTGAGCCCTGTGGATCCATACGTGATTGCAGCGTTACTAGTAACCTTACGAGAATTACTGCAGATTTTAATCTCATCCAAGCACCTTTTCTGGTCATCTCAGCAAGGTGTGGCCTATGTCACTGGACCAGTGGTGGGGTACAATAAGCAGCAGATCAGAACAAGCCCAGAGGGGTTCCTTGCAGAGAAAAGGATCCTTCTGCACTCCTCTTGCTGCAGAGCCGGGACCTCCCACAGCCCCCTTGCCCTGTACAAAGGTGCTGGGGTTTCCTGGTGATCTGCTTACAAGCTTGGGCGCTT